TTATATTTCTATTGCACCTCCTTAGCCCAATGAAAACTTAGCATAATTTCCTTAATAGAACAATGCTCATTATCCAGACAAGCAACCTGAAGAGCCTTAGGCTTTTGAATCCCATTTTTCCCTCTCGTGACCATGGGATGAACATTCTGAGAAATAACTAATAATCACAAGCAGTAGCATGAGTAGGTACACTGCCATCTAGATTACATAAAGAAAAAACAACATGCCCAACAAAAGAATGGAAAAACTCATGCACAACACCTAATTACTCAACACGTTTTGAAATCACAGAAACTGAGAAATGAGAACCCTGAAAAACAGGGCAGCATTCCCTAGAAGCTGTAAGAATATTTGTAATAGGTGAACCCATATCAGTATAAAGAACCATTTCCACATTATTAGGTGAAACAAATGCCTCCTCACTATTGCAACCAACACCTATAGCACCATGGGGAGAACCAATACTTACACCAGGTACAATAATTGGCAAAACCTCATTAGTTACACCAGAACTTCAAGTGTGAGAATAATCAACACGACCTCTAAAAAAAACAATCACCTTACCTGAATCATCCAAACATTTATAACCTTTATGAAAAAACAATAACCAAGAAACACACACCTCTGAGAATGAAATTATAACTTATGCTGATTAAAAGAGTGAAGACAAGGAAAACATGCGCAACCAAAACACGAACAAGAGAGTAATTTGGAGATTGATGATAAAGTACTTCAAACGGAGATCGACCACCCAATACACCCGTAGGAAGCCTATTTATTAGATAAACTACCAAAAAAAGGCATAACTTCATAATTTTATCGATAACAAAGCATGCGACAATATAGCAAAACCCATTTTAACAACATGTTTGTCTATGGTTTCTCTCAGCTTTACCATTTTGCTTAGATGTCCCTGGACAGGAGATACGATACAAAACTTCATTCGAATAAAACAAGAACTTGAGAGCCTAATACTCTACACCTTCATCAGATTGTAGCATCTTAACTTTATACCCAAATTGAACTTCAACCATCTTAACAAAATTAAGAAAGTATTACATTACTGTAGATTTACGTTTAAGTAAATAAACCCACGAATAACGACTAAAAATATCAATAAATGAGACATAGTAAACAAAACTATCTGAAGAAATAGCCGGTGCAGGTCCTCATACATAGGAAACAACCAATTGAAAATGTTCACTATATTTAGTCAAAGACTTACAAAAGGGTAATTTATGTGCTTTACTTTACATACAGATAATACAAACATGAGTCAACTTGGTTTTATTAGAAGAAATATTACAAGACTTCATAACCGAAAGAACAACATACAAAGAGGAATGACCCTGCCTCCTGTTTATCACATGACTCCTAGCCGTCATATAGAAACAGCTGATAAAGCCCCTCATCCGTGAACTTCCCTTGAAGAAGAATAGTTATGGTATGAGCATCTTTCATAAAACACTCAGAAGCATGAAATTCAATAAAAACATCATTATCACGCTCGAACTATGAGACATACAATAATTTTATTTTAATATTATGAACGTGTAACATATTTTGTAAAACCAAGGGTTTTCTACTGGTAGATAAAAATCCTCAACCAACATGATCGATTTTAACACCCTCACCGTTACCCATGAGTAAAGTATTGGCACCAGTATAAACTGTATCTGATTAAAAAATAGACAAGTCATTGGAGACATGATGCGTAGCACCCGTATCAGGATACCAAATAGTCTCATGTGGCACTGACAAACGAGCTGAATAAGAGGAGACATCCGAGTTGAAAACTGCAGGTCCTGAGGAAGCAAACGAATGTTTCCCAGGAGGCTAGGAACGGAGCTATTCGACAAATCCCTAGAGTAAAAACCACTTGCAGGTATGGGTAACTGGGCCCAAAACAGGAGGAACAACAGTCATTCCTGATAAACCAGAATTAGTCGAATAGAAAATCGGTGGTTATGAAAAAGGAACAAACGAGTGAGGAATATATAAGATAGGATGAACCATATGAGAAAACACTTGACCTCCAGATCGTTGTTTGACAAGGTTCAGTCGATCAAACTTTTTATGCAAATCACCAGTTAGATCATCACCTCCAATCACACCAGTATAGTCTCGATCAAAATGATAATAACAATTTTGCACCACATGGCCAAACTTACCACACAATTGGCATTGAGGCCTGTTTGAACCAAAACTCCATCCTCGACCACGACCATGGTAACCACCACCTTGCTGATCTCGAGTCTGACCCGAATGCAGTTGTGATGAATTATTTTCTTTAGCATCTAACTCAACATTATTTACTTCCTTGGATAAACGAGCCAAGTTAGCCGTAATGCCTTCATTCAAAAAGACTTTCTACCGAGACTCACAGTCCAACAACGCATCAGTCAGAACTTCCAAAGACAAGTTCTCACGAGAAGAAACGACAATGATTGATTCAAACTCCATTGAGAGGCCAACATGAGCAACACTCACATGCTTCTGCTCAGTGACAACACTACCCGATGTATTAAGTAAATCACAAATAGATTTAATCTTGGCAAGATACTCACTAATAGTCAAACCATACTTCCTTTGAGAATGTAAACTATGTATGAGAGAGAAATCTTGGCAACAGATTGAGCACCAAATAACCAAGAAATAGCATACCAAATGGAAGAAGTCGTTGTAAGACCAGTAAGATGAGGAAGAACCTCAATATTGATTGTTATGAGGAGCCAAGAGGCTAACAATTTATCTTGCTGCCTATGAATAAAAAAAGCAGGATTAACCTCAAGATGACCTGATGCACTCGTGACAAACTCATCTGGCAGAATTGAATCATTGGAAAGAAAGCTTATCAACCCATAAACGACAATTATCAAAGCAACTTGATGCTTCCAAATAAGATATGTACTCTCGGTAAGTTTGACAGTATCATGCTTAGTGATATGCTGAACCGCATTAAAACCCAAAGGAACAATCACTGAGATCATATGAGAGTTATCCAGATACAGTTTTAGCACCTCGAATCGGATCTGTGGCTAGATCAACCATGATGAACAAGACACAAAACTTCGACTAGATCTAAGAACACTAACCCGATCACCAACTTACTGAAGCAATCACCACAACACATCACAAAAGGAGTAATAGCGGTAGAAGAAACGACCACCATGATTGGCGAATGATACCGTGATAAGATTCAAAACTAAGTTATATGAATGAAGAATAGAGAAGATAATAGAGAAAAGGCTCTCTGAACCTTATTATTGAAAACATACCAAGTCTTTACAAGTCATGACTATTTATAGCAGCTTAGAGTACAAAGAACTAACCATAACTGAATGCATAACAAAAAAACTACATAACATAAAAGCTTAACAAACTCATAACCTCATAACTGTTTGCACAACAGAAACCTATTACAAAGCATAGTTCATCAACAGAAATATGCATTTTTATAATTATTTATTTTATTTAAAAAATTTCTTTTGTAAATCCGTGACCAGATTTTGTATTTCATGCTAATAATACAAATACAAGATTTGGGCATGATAGTGATTTAGTCAATGTTTACACCAACTCATCCAATGTAAGGAAATGATAGTTAAAAATATATATTTTTAAAGGATTCATTCTTAGTCTTAGAGCTTATCTACACATATATTTCATTTTTCTAAGGGTTTTAGTAATTTTTTAGAAGTATTAAGGCCAATTTGGTATAACTTTTGAAAAGTGATTTTCGAGAGTACAATAAAAAATAATTTTTAAAAGTGTTGTATAAAAATATAGTTTAAAATTTATTGTTTGGGATCGTTATTAAAAAGTGAGTTTAAAAAGATAAAATATTAATTATTAATATGTTGTAAATTAAAAGTATAATATTTATATTATATTTACACTTATATATAAATTTATCAATTTAAATAATAATAAATTCAAAAAATATTATTATATATGAATTATATCAATTTAAACTATAGCAAAAACATAAATAAAAAAATAATTATAATAAAAAAATATTTTATATAACTCACTACTAATATTTAATATATAAATCATGTAAGAACTAACTTACCTAAGTCGTAAAACAATCGTTGTTGTTCTTAAAAGTCAGAGTTTGAGCACTAGCAGCTGAAACAGGGTGATTGAAAGTGTTCATTAGTAATATAGAATTAAAATTTCTTCTAAACGTAAAGTTAATAATGAAAAAACTAAAAGTCTTAGTTTTACTATTGGTTTGAAACCACCATTTTAACTATATTTTTTTTAATTTTTTACATGTTTAATATTAATTTATGGGTTAAAATATTTTTTTAACTAAAAGTGATTTTAAAAAACTTTACCGACACACTAAAAAAGAAAACATAATTTTATAGTTTATAGAAGAACACATGAGGGGTGAAATACACGAGGGATATTGGGATTTCACTGGTCAAAAATGGTTTGGAGTGTGAATGAATTAGTGGTAGGCCAAGGCCTGCCCTGAATAATTATAGTAATATTTACCAAAAATAAACGGGTAAACAACCAATTTGGTCATATATTTTTCAAAATCATATATAATAGTACGATTTAATTCTGTTTTAGTCACTTATAATTAAAATATTAACAATCATACCAACATATTAGCATGAAATAATTTTACATGATCATTGAAGAATAATAATAAAAATTAAAACAATATCATTTTTTGTTTTTTATCAGTAAATTATCAAAACATAATCAAAACGTGACGTTAACTATTAGTATATTAAAAAATAATAATTAAATGACTAAAACAAAAATTAAAGAATAAGTGAGTGACCAAATAATTAATTTACTCGAAAGGAAAAAATAATAACCCATACATACACAATGTAATTGTCAAATCGTAAACGCGTTAAATGCAGCAATACAGCATTCAAACACTCAATTCAGCAGAAAAAAAAAAAAAAAATTCTCTTCTTTCCTTTGTTTTTCCGTCTACAATCCATAATTTTACTTCCTTAACACGTTTATCAAAAAAGAAAACCCAAAGACCACCCACAGTTTCCTAGTCCATTAGTTGATTAAACATCTCTCTGTTCTTTGTTCCCAGATTTTCAGTTACTTTCCCGAACATTTCTGGGTTTTTTTAAAAATCTGTTTTTAATGGTCAATACTGACGGGACTTGTACTCCACTCACAATTTGGAAAAATTTGGGTCTTTGGGGGTGACTTTGAATTGTTCAAAACGATTCAAGATAAAGCCTTTGATTGCTCTAGACTTGTGTCGTCCAAATTCTTCAACTTTGAGGGGTGGGGGTATTTGATGGATTGGATATTGTGAATTCTTCGAATTCTTTTGGATTAGTTTGTAGATGGTGAATTAAGGGTTCTTAAAGTAGGTTTATTTGTTGTTGTCGACTGTAATTGAGTGTACATATAATACAAACATGGGTTGCATGAATTCCAAGTCCCCGGCTGTCGAAGATAGTCGTGAGAATCACAAAGAGAGGCTCAGACCAAAAGGGTCATCGTCAAGAAGAGAGGAGATCGTTGTTGGATCGAAGGATAAATTCGATGTCGGTGATGTTAAAGTATTGTTGATTGATAAGAAAACGAGTGGTTCCAATCCTTATTGTTATAATGATCAGGCTGAGAAGGAGAGGATTATTGATAAGTTTGAAGTGATTGAGACAGTCGATAAAGTCGAAAACTTTGAGGTTACTACAACAATTGCAGCCCATCATCATCATCATCCTGGTTCCGGAAGGGTGTTGAATAGCATAAAAGGCGAGCAGGTTGCAGCTGGATGGCCTTCCTGGCTTGTTGCTGTGGCAAGTGAAGCTATCAAAGGATGGATACCTCGAAGGGCCAACACCTTTGAGAAGCTGGATAAAGTATGATCCTTTACTTTGCTTGATCAATGCTCATCATATATTGAATGTTTCGAATGTCAAATGAAAAACTGAGCGAAGCTGATTTTGCTTTACATTTTCTCATTAGCTTCCCTAGTTCACTATAGGTAACCTAATCAAATGTTTATGAAGATCCTGTATTCTGTAGTAGTGTCCATGGTGATTTAGTTTGTCAGAGAAGCTCATCTTATTGTTGTATCTATAGGATTTGCATTATCCATGTTGATATTCTCATTTTTCATTTGGTTTTTGTATGATAGTATTTCATTCTCGCAGATTGGCCAAGGAACTTATAGTAGCGTGTACAAGGCATGCGATGTGGTTCATAATAAACTGGTGGCCCTAAAAAAAGTACGATTTGATAATCATGACCCTGAGAGTGTGAAAGAGTGTGAAGTTCATGGCAAGGGAGATTAATCTCTTACGAAGACTTGATCATCCGAATGTTATCAAATTGGAAGGCTTGATCACATCCCCAATGTCATGCAGCTTATACCTTGTTTTTGAATACATGGAACATGATCTCGTGGGACTTGCGTCGCTTCCTGGAATCAAGTTTTCCGAGCCTCAGGTAATAGAGAGATGCAACATGGATGCAGCAGTCACCTGCACAATTTTATTCTGCTGTTTATAGGGATGTATCTTCTTGGACATTTCTTTCATTTTTAGCGTTTTTTATTCATAAATATGTTTTTCCATTTTTGGTCAGATTAAATGCTATATGCAGCAACTTCTAGGTGGACTTGATCATTGTCACAGCCATGGTGTCCTCCATCGTGACATAAAGGGTTCAAATCTTCTCATTGACAGTAATGGAATCTTAAAGATTGCAGATTTCGGTTTAGCATGCCATTTTGATCCTCATGATAGTGTTCCAATGACGAGCCGTGTAGTGACTCTTTGGTATCGACCACCGGAACTTTTGTTGGGAGCTTCTTATTATGGGGTTGCAATAGATTTATGGAGTGCTGGTTGCATACTTGGAGAGCTATATTCTGGCAAACCTATTTTGCCCGGTAAAACAGAGGTATTAGGTTCAAGATTTACACATTTGTATAAGTTTGTTTTTATTTAACGAAATTAAATCAAGCATTCTAGTGTTAGGCTTTTTTTTTAATATTTTTGATTTTATAGGTTGAGCAGTTACACAAGATTTTTAAGCTATGTGGCTCACCATCCGAAGAATACTGGAGAAGAGCAAAATTACTTTATTCAACGGTGTTCAAGCCTCTTCACCCTTATAGACGATGCATTGCTGAAACGTTTAAAGATTTTCCTTCTCCTGCTGTAAGTCTCATGGACACCTTGCTTTCAATAGATCCTGTTCATCGCAGAACTGCAGCGTTTGCTCTGAAGAGTGAGGTATGCACAATATGTCGATCATCACCAATGAATTTCTCTTGATTAACTTATGTTAGCACTTTTCACCTGGAATTTGTAAAAGTTTCACTGATTTTTTTCTCTCTGGCCTTCTTTCAGTTCTTTACAACACAACCTTTTGCATGTGATCCTTCAAGTTTACCCAAATATCCTCCTAGCAAGGAGATCGATGCTAAGTTGCGGGACGAAGAAGCTAGAAGGTATATGTTAAATTTGATTATTATTGAATTCAAAAATCAGCATGGTGTAGATTTTATTTTGGGATCATTAAGATTAACCTCTTCTTATATTCTCTTAGGCAAAGAGCAGTTGAGAGCAGGTCAAGGGTTGACATTGAAAGGAGGGGGCAGAAGGAACTGGTTTCTACGACATCATCCAACTCTAATGCTGAGCTGACCTCGTTCTTGCAGGTATTTTTGTTTTCTTCTGAAGATTTGATGGCTATTTATTTGAATGTCAGTCATATGCAACTAGATTACACTTTTTCCTTGCTAATTGCCTTTGCCTCTTGCTCCTCGAATTACAGAGAAGACAACTGCATCCTAATTTGAAGAGCAGGAGTCAAATGTCGAACGCTCGCAACACAGATGGATTTTCTGGTTTATTGGTTGATCCCTCTAAACAAACTAATGCTGCAAAAGAAAATAGTAGAGACTTCTTGGAGTACAATAGAAAGAAAGTTTCGCATTCTGGTCCATTGGTCTATGGTGTTGCATTCGGGAAATCTGGGAAGGAACCCGATGATCTTACTAGGCTCCCATCCAGGGCTAACTTATCGAAGTTATCCGGTTTAGTAGCAACTAGAAAATTGGCTCCTGAAGATCACAGAGACAGATCTGGACCTTCGACTCCGGATGCAGTGAACCAAGCCAGTAGGTCTCGCAGATCGTTTAATGAACTAGAGCCTCCAGGAAAACACAACGTCAGACGCCATATGCCGAAGACTGCCGAATCCCCACAGAGAGGAGGTGGTAGACCATGCGTTAAGGAACCGATGGTTAGTTTCTAGACGTTATTCTTTATTTTATTCAGCGTTTGATTTCTTCGACTTTTTTCGTTGTTTTCGAATTGATATGCATGGATTAGGCTTCAATATTTCTGTGGTCCACATGATATTTTTTTTTTCCCTTTTAGCATTCTTGCCTTGCAAGGTGCAATTCTAAACCTGGCTTTCATGTGAACATATAATGTATTCTGAAACCTGCGTATTCTTATAAATGCTATAATCTACAGCATGGTCGTGGTCCGAGGGGAAACAAAATCTACGTCTCGGGTCCATTACTTGCACCATCTGAGAATGTCGATCAAGTGCTCAAGGAGCACGACCGTAAGATTCAAGAATTCGCTCGAAGAGCAAGACTCGACAAGAAAAAAACCGGGAAACTACAAGCTCAAGGTAAGCAAGGGACAGAAAATTCATTGTTCTTCACTTCTCGCGGAGCTGGATAGATGTTTCATACTATTTTCTTTTTTTCGATCTTAGTGATGAAGAAGCTGGAAAATCAGGTAATCTATTAGCAAGAGATCATTAGATTACAGGATTTACCATGTATAGTGAGTCCCCATATGGGTAGAGCTCAAGGAAAAAAATATAGTATTTGAGCAAAAGTACTCATTAAACTCCCTTTGATTTGGTTAGCCATAAATTTATCTGGAATTGTAGCTGATTGCTACTTTCTTTTATACATCAATAATAGAATGAAGAAGACGGATTACAATTTTGAAACTGTTTCTTGGTGTGACATGACCTCTGAATGATTTACTTGAATAAAATCTATTGCCACCTGACTGTATTCACCTAGTTAATTAGCATTCGAGTATTATAATCGTTCTGTGATTCACAACACTAAATATCATTACAAAATCTTTCGATCAAGATTGAGATGCAATTTTAACAAAATCATTTTATCTCGACTTTTCTTTAGTTCTTCGACATCGATAATCTTTTGATTTTTCATTTACAATAAATTTTTATTTAAATTAAAAGAATAATATGAAACTTAACTAATCTCATCAACATGATTATATCATTTGTATAAATGATTTTCAATCAACTCCATATACAATTTTCTTCGCAATAAAGTCTGACATGATCCTAAACCTTAAAAATAAGAATAAAAATTGAAAGCCTAGAAATTTACATTATTCTATTTTTTTAACGAAATGTACGAGTTTGGAACATAATAAAAAGTTGAGTTATCATTTTATAACTTTTAATAGTTGAGAAACTCAATAAAATAATATTATATAATCAAATGATTATTTTATAACTTTTAATAGTCAAAATACTTAATAAATCAATACGCTATAATCATGGGATCATTTGTAAATTTTAACCATTTAAATATTATTTTTATAATTTTATAATAATAATTATTTCGACGACGGATCGCTGTTTAAATATTATATTGATTTCAGTATACTGTTTGTGTGTTCTTTTCTACGCTTCGAACCAGAACCACAGCTGTCATAACTCTAGGACTAAAGCTGAATGCCTAGAAATCATAGAGCTTTTTGACATGCAACCCAAGCTGTGATCTCCGTTTATGGTTTCTCATGTCTCCTCTGTTGTTTTCATGTGCAATCATAACCCTCCTTTTGTTCTTCGCTTCGGTAGTTTCATCTCTTGAATTCGTTTACTACACGAACTTCCACTCTACAAATCTCTTCACATTCGGCGATGCCACCATTGATTCTTCTTCTTCTTCTTCTTCTTCAATTCTCTCCCTCACAAACGCAACTTTCTTCATGGGTCGTTCCTTGAACTCTTTGAAGATCCCTGTAATGTCAGCTAATTCATCAAAGGTGCTTCCTTTCTGCACGTCTTTCATCTTCTCCATCGTCCCTCTCAAAGGGTTTCTCCCAGGTCACGGATTCGCCTTTGCTTTCTTGCCGTCCGATGGTATATCCGGTGACAGCTCAGCTCAGAATCTTGGTCTTTTTAACTTCACCAACAATTGTGATCCCAATAGCAGCATCTTTGGTGTTGAGTTCGATGTGTTTGCGAACCAGGAATTCGATGATATCAACGACAATCATGTGGGTGTTGATGTGAACTCCCTGAAATCCGTTGCTTCAAGTCCTGCTGGGTTTTGGGGAGGGCGTAAAGATGAAAACTTTAAGGGGTTGAAGCTTAATAATGGTGTGAATTATCAAGTTTGGATTGATTATCAAGATTCTATTGTAAATGTTTCCTTGGCTAAAGTTGGGGAGATAAGGCCTAGGAGGCCATTGATTAGTACGTTTGTGAACCTTTCTGGTGTTTTCCTTAATGAAATGCATGTGGGATTTGCTGGATCAACAGGGCAACTGTTGGAGAGTCATAGGATTCTGGCTTGGAGCTTTAGTAATTCCAATTTTTCAATTGTGATGCTTTGATCACTACTAATTTGCCTTCATTTGTGTCACCATAGGATTCAGTGTTTAGATCATTAGGGTTCATAGTTGGAGTTACCATTGGGGTTGTCCTGCTTGTAATCATCATTTGGATTGTGATGTATTTTGTTTACTTTAGACACATAAGGAAAAGAAATGCCATTTAGTCTTCCATTTATCTTATGGGAAGTGGGAACTGTGCATGATTTCAACATGCTCAAGCAATTTGTAAGATTTGGGGTGTGTCAATATTCAAATGGAAACATATGCGTTTGTTAGCACATAGAGAGCTACTTAGCTTAGTAATCATGATTATATATTCACTTTGTCCTGGCTTTGCATGTTGTAAGTTGCTTTGTACCAAAGGGGCTCAAACATATAGTTTTATTAATTAATATATTCAGGCCCATTGATCAAGGAGCTCCACTGGTCTAGTGGTTACATTTAATAAAATTATATTCATAAATATTCTAAAATTATATTAAAAGTATTAACAAATAATAAGAGTGCAAGAAGTACTCAACATTTGAAAAAAAATTAAATGATAAATCTGTTAGCCAGATGATATTTTTATATTAAGAGTCCGTTTGTTTCATTGAAAATGTTTTTTTGAAAAGTGTTTTTCATAAAATAAATTACATTTTATAGAAAACATTTTATGAAAAATATTTTAAGGTGTTTGGAAGAGGTTGTATAAACCATTTTTCACTAGTTGATGAATTTTTAAAATATTAAATATAATAAATAATATTATTTATCATAAAAACTTATTATTATTATTTTTGAAATATTAGAATAATTTATTTATTATTGTTAAAATATTATTTCTATAATTTTATTAATAAAAATATTAAGAATAGCACATTCTATTCAAATAAAATATTATATATTATGTTAATTATTTATTAAAGTAATAGTATTATATTATATTTTAAAAATTATTAATTAATATATTTTAAATATCTTAATTAAAATATTATTAGATTGTTATATTAATATTAAATACATAAATAATATTATTCATTATTAATAATATTATTTTTATGAAATTAATAAATTATATAAATTTTATTAATAATATATTATATATTAATAAAATAAAAATATAATATCTTATATTATTATAATATAATTGAATATATTATGATAATATTAAAAAAATGTAATATTATATTATTATAAATATTAATAAATATTTTTGAAATATTTTAATAATTAATATTTTTATTGAAATGATATTAAAATATTATATTGAAATTAAATTCATAAAATAAAATTATTTTGAGTATTTATTATTTGAAGTGAAAAGTTTAGAAAATGACTTACGGAAAATCAGATTATAAGTCATTTTTCATAAAATAAAAACAAAAGTTTGTTGACCAGAAAATGGTTTACATTGGTCAATCAATTTTCTTCCAACCAAACACAGAAAAATGAAAAAAAAAGTTTTATAGAATATATTTTACATGAAACAAACATAACCTAAATTAAATTATGTATCTTGAAATTTTATCACTTTATTTATTTGACCAACATTAATCATTAAATTTAGTGTTTATTTGAATCAATTGATATACTTTATTGTGTCGTGGTAATGTCATCTAATATTTTAAAATGAATTTTTTGTATTCAATTAAATTCTTAAATCAAGAAATTAAATAAATTAAGTCATCGATATGAGAAATTTATTTGAATAATTTGATTGCTAAGATATTTTTGTCACGTGATACACTAATTTTATCACATGAATTTACAGATTATTAAATGAAAATTTTAAAAAATATATTAAAATTCTAAAATTAATTTTAAAAGAATATAAAAATTTATAAAAATGATTAAATTTATGTCATAAAGATCTAAAAAATAATAAAATTTAATGGATCAGTTCATATCATTATCTAAACATAAAAAAATTTAATAACAAGGGGATCAGTTCATATCATTATCTAAACATAAAAAAAATTTGTCATTAATTGGATCCACATTATTATCAATATTGAACAAGCATTTTAGCTCAATTTCATATATCAAACATGCGAATTAGATTAATTTCACAAAGATAAAATATTTTTCATGTCAATCACAGATACTAACATGTTGGGACATATCCAATTATCAAATTTTCATATCGAAACATGCATAGACATACCTCTTCAAGACACAAACTATCCATTTACTTAATTTAGGCCAATAATGAGATTTAAGCATTTTAATCATATACCACAACAAATATACATGCAAAATGAAACGTGATGTCAACTACACTCACCTAATATGACTTTAACCGATTTTGCGTCGGGTTTGACCATCTCCTTCATCGATTTGTACCCTCCGATTACCCTAGTATTGAGCAACGCAAGTGCTATATGTTGGGTTTTTGGCAAAGTCCCACATTGGTTGTGTATAAGGAGGAGAGAAAATTCTTTTGTTATAAATAGAGCCCTCCTTCTCGTTAGTTTAGTATCCCACAAATATAAGTATTCTTCACTATTAAAGGCTATTTGTACTCTTTCTTTCTTTGTAATATTTCCTCTATTAGTGAAATATTATTTTAGTAGTGTTCGAGGAGGTAGGCATAATTTTGGCCTAACCTCGTTAAATTTTGATGTTCTCTTTATGTCTATTTAATAGCTATTTTCGGGTATAGTTGTTGTTAATTATTGTCCTATTAAAATTACTTGTCTTGGTAGTTCTGTCTAAGGAAAGTGGGTTTTAAAAGGGACTATTGTGACCCCTCCTCTTTCCTGAGAATCTACCTCGGGGTGATTTTTAGTACAATCGTTTTCACACTAGTCACCTAGATAATAATTTCAAGGTGAATATGTTATTGGTAGAAATTAACCCGAATTCCACAACAATTGGTATTAGAGCTCTTGGTTTATTTTAGTATGTTCTGTGGTTGCGGCTTAGGCTGATCTTCCACATCAGAAAAAAATTTCCTTGGGATAATTGACATTCCGCATTGACAGCTATTAAATAGAATTTGTAGCAGAAATGATAGACGCTTCTTCATCTTCAATTTTGGCAAGAAATGTTGTAACAATTGTTAGATTTGCAGTGGAGATTTTTGATGGCACCGGTCATTTCGACATGTGGCAAAGTGAGGTTCTAGATGCCCTATTTCAGCAGGGTCTAGACATTGCTATTGAAGGAGAGAAACCAGATGATGTTGAGGAGAAAGAATGGAAGAGGATCAATAGAATGACATGTGGTACTATTCGATCGTGTCTTTCTAGAGAGCAGAAGTATGCATTTTCTAAGGAAACTTCTGCAAGTAAATTGTGGAAGGCACTGGAGGAGAAATTTTGAAGAAAAGCGGTCAGAACAAACTCTACATGAAAAAAAGATTGTTCCACTTCAACTATGTACCAGGTACCACTATGAATGATCACATTACTAGCTTTAATCAGCTGGTGACTGATCTGATGAATATGGACGTGACTTTTAAAGACGAAAATCTGGCTCTGATATTGATGGGATCACTTCTTGATGAGTTTGAGTATCTTGAAACTACTCTACTTCATGGGAAGGTTGATGTGTCTCTCAGTGAAGTAATTGATGCCTTGTATAGTTATGAATTGAGAAAGAAAGACAAACAAGAAAACACAAGTGTCGAAGCAGAAGCTCTAGTTGTTAGAGGCCGTTCGAAGAGTCAGAATAAAGGAAGGAGAGGGAGATCGAAGTCAAAGTCCAGATTGAGAAAAGATGAATGTGCCTTTTGTCGAGAAAAAGAGCACTAGAAGAAAGAATGTCCCAGGCTAAAGAATAAAGGAAAACCTGAAAGGGGGAAGGCTGTCTCAGAATCAAATGTGGTCGAGTATGATGATGCAGATTCAAATTTCGCATTCACTGCTACGCCATAAACCAACAGTTCCAGTTCATGGCTGTTAGATTCAGCTTGTAGCCACCATATGACCCCCAATAGAGAATGGTTCTTTGATTTTAAAGAACTAAAAGGTGGAATTGTCTACACATCAAATAATTCCCCTCTTGACACACTTGGGATTGGTTCAATTCGCTTGAGGAATCATGATGGATCAATCAGAACCTTAACAAGTGTCCATTATGTACCAGATTTAATGAGAAATCTCATCTCTGTGGGAACCTTAGAGTCAAAAGGTTTAGAAGTGAGGGCAAAAGATGGGATTATGAGGATTATCTCTGGTGCACTGGTGATAATGAAGGGAATCCGGAAAAGAAACAATGTGTATTTCTTTCTAGGTAGTACAATTGTTGGGATAGCAGCAGTGGCAGCTTCTATTGATGAACATGAGTCAGAAGCAACCAGGTTATGACATATGCGCTTAGGGCATGTTGGTGAAAAATCCTTGAAATTACTGATAGATCAAGGATTATTGAAGGGTGCTCGGGCTTGCAAATTAGCTTTTTTTGAGCATTGCATCAAAGGGAAGAAGACGAGGGTGAAATTTGGAACAACAATCCATGATACTAAAGGTATTTTGGATTATGTTCATTCAGATATATGGGGGCCTTCCAAGACAATTTCATTGGGAGGAACACACTATTATGTCACCTTTGTTGATGATTTTTCCTGGAGAGTTTGGGTGTATACAATGAAGACAAAAGATGAGGTGCTAGGATTTTTCCTTAAATGGAAAAAGATGATGGAGACTCAAACAGGCAGAAAAATCAAACGTCTCCGTACAGACAATGGTGGAGAGTACAAAAATGATCCATTTCTGAAAGTCTGTGAAGAGGAAGGTATTGTCAGGCACTTCACTGTTAGAGGTACACCACAACAGAATGGGATGGCAGAGCGTATGAACTGAACATTAGTGGAGAAGGTTCGATGTATGTTGTCTAATGCTGGGTTAGGCAAAGAATTTTGGGCTGAGGCTTTGGTCTATGCTTTTCACCTTGTCAATCGCTTACCATCGACTGCTATTGGTGGTAAAACACCATTAGAGAAATGGTTTGGAGAACCTGCTACAGATTATGATTACTTACACGTGTTTGGTTCCACTGCATACTACCATGTTAAG